TCTATCTATCTATCTATCTATCTATCTATCTATCTATCTATCTATCTTGTCCCATTGTCCCTTGTCTAACATTGGTACATAGTTTTATTTTGAGTATATCTGGATTAATCAATTTTTTTGATTAGTTGATTTGATATAAGCTTGTGTCTGTATATCTTTGTTTTTATATTGTAGAGCTATATCTAGTAGGTATGGCTGTAGTGAGGATTTCTTTTTGCAGACAGGAAGCTTTTTGGTTGTGTGTCCATACACTGATTTGTAAAACATTATGTCAATTGTAAAGGACTTTCCCCCAACGTTTTTTTTTTATTGAAGGTGAAAGTGTTCTTGCAGCTGACAAAAAGCCTCCTTTAATTATAGTGCTGTTGACAATTATTTATAATTACTCAGCCAGTTCTAACTTTTTGAGAAAAAAAACATATTAATAACAATAAATTCAATGTATTAGTAGTAAAAAATAACCTCAGCATATCATTTACTACTGTCAACATAAAGTGAGTTTTTTAACAATGTTTTAACAATTTAAAATTCATAGTAACATGGTGAACTGATAAATAAATTATTAAACCAATGTTTTCCTGTAGTTTGATGTTATGTTATTGCAATGTAAACTATGGCTGTTGTGTTCGTGTTTATACCACTAAGACATCATTCCAGTATTAGAGCATCAATCTATCAGTTTTCAAGTGCCAGTGTGCACCTCAGAAAGGTTGCCAGTCCATCACAGAGCTACACATCCATGCGGACTGACTTCTACAAGGACAATCTAGATTTACTGATTAAATTAAACTAACAGAGTGCTATGATAGTGTGGTGTTGAGCACCTTTGCCCCAAAGTAAGACTGTTCCTGATTCAAGCTCCTGGGGGACTGGGACCTTTCTGTGTGGAGATTTCATATGCTTACTGTGTCTGGAATGGTTCTCTCTGGGGACTCTGGCTTCCTCCCTCTTTCTAAAAACATGCATGTTAGCTTAATTGGACACTTCAAATCAAGTCGGTGTGTGGTTGTTTGTCTCTGTGTGACCCTGTGATGGACCCTGCCTAATGCCTGTTGTCAGCTGGTACTGGCTCAAGTGCCCCACGACCCCGTTTGGAAAAAGCAGTATAGAAAATGGCTGGATAATTAAACCAACATATATATTGTTGGACACCCAGAGTTCTTGGATACAACCCATTTATCCAAAACATGGAAAAAACAGAAAGGACAACGAGCAAGATTCAAACCAGGAACTCTCTTGCTGTCAGGCAAAGGTACAAACCGCAACCCTTACAACCATGCAGACCTCACTCCTTCAATCTAAGAAGAGATCCATATCAATTTAAGCAAAAATTAAGATCTTAATCAACTTCTTCACTCAAGTAGTGAAATGCTTCACTCTTCCTCTCCTAATCTGCAACCAAAAGCTAAAAAGGACCCATGAATCAATTCCTAGACTAACAATCACTAAGTTTTCAACTGTTGTATCTGTAGCTCTTAAATTAATTTTCTTTTGGCATGGTCTCTGTGAATTTATTTTGCTAATTTATTCTATTTAAGTTGGCAAAGGCAACAGGTCCAGGATGGAAACCCATACATCCATCTTTCCACAAACATATCTCCAGTGCTTTCTGGAGGATCCAAAGCTTTTCCCAGGCCAGAAGAGATAAACTTTCCCCCTAAAAACTTTAAAAGAGAAACAACTTAAAGGCATCTTAATCAGGTGTCAAACCCACATCATCTGGTTCCTTTTGATACAGAGGGACATTAGCACACAAGATTTCTGAGGTTTCTTGGTAATAGTCCCAGATTACCAACAAAAATCCATCAAACCTCTACCATTGTGTTCTTCAAATGTGGCCAGAGGGTGAAAATTGTACTATGTTTACAACAGGTTTAAGATAAAAACCTGGCTAATTTTAATGCAGAAATCTGGTGCTTTTATCTTGAAGGTGCAGCTCCTCAACAGGAAGTGTGGTTCTTCTTTCATTTATCAGGACTTTTGAAACTGTGCATGGGAATAAATGTTTCCTCTTACTTTTAAAACAGGCTAATGAAAAGAAATGGACTGAACACATTTGTGTGCATCTCACCAAAATTGTCATTCTCCTCAGTTCAACTGTGCAATCGGTTGTTTAAAGTAAATGTCATCATCTATATATATTCTTTTCTGTCTTTGAGCTTAGGTGAATGCAACAAAAACTTAGTTGGTTGTCGAAAGGAATTTATTCATTTTCCTGCATACATCCCATCAAACAACTTTGGGCTCTATGGTCAAAAACAACAAACAACTGCTGAATACACAGTCAACTGCTTACAATCTGAATCACTATGAATGATAAACCACCACCATCAGACCCAAATGTTCCAAATATGACCAGAGCATTTGCAAAACCACAAACCAATATGAAATAAATAGCAAAGAGTCTTGTATATTATTATATTAAAGAAAAAATGCATAACTTTGCGTATGATACCGCATCACAGAACTGCTGTATCACGCTATTTCTTTAAAGCTTCACTGATCAATTTTTTAGATATATACAACATATAAAATCCAAAGAAAAAGGCCGAGCAAACTCTCCAGATCAAACGATCTCAGTGAAGGGTTTATTACCTTTTAGTTTTGTTTAGGCTTACTGCTTTACAGAATTACAGAATTTCTGTGTTCTTTTTTCAATAAATGTTTCAGCTGGAACCACAGTATTAGTTCTGTCCATCTCTGGTATCACACAGAAAAATATTTTAAATGGCTGGTGCACAATGTAATAAACGTAGCTGCATATGTCTTTGCCTAATTAAGTGATCCTAAAAGTACGGTTGCTGGGGGATGCAAACCAACATTACAAAATTGTGAAAGCCTTTTGCTAATTTGCATTTTGTCAAATAAATTACAATTAGGAAAACAAGTAAACATTTCACAAAACAAGTAAACAAGTCCCTAAACACTTTTACAACCGCTTAAACAAATTAAATTTTCGGAAAACAAATTCACATTTCAAAAAACAACTTAAGAAGTCCTGAAACACCTTTAAAAATGACAAATTAACCTGGATAGCTGACTGAATTGAAGGCATAAGAGGGGTACACATGGTGAACTAACATGGACAACAATTGGATGGCGTTTTGACCGTTTTATGGCACACATACGGGCAGATTAACCTGCTTTGATTTTCAGTTGGAGGGTGTGGAGGGGGCGTGGCGCTCAGCTGCAGGGGGGAGGGGTGGAGAAGGCTCAGGTGAGCAGTGCCAGGGGAGATGATTAGGCACACCTGGAACCGGTTGACTAATCACTCTCCCCTCTGTAAAAAGAGTAGTGTGCTGGACCTGGGGGGGACTGGTTTTGGAGGAGCGCTGGAGCAGGACAAGCGAGCAGCTCTGAACGAGCAGGAACAGGCGACAACACAAAGAGCCTTAGCCGGGCGTGTGAGTGTGTGTGCGCTTGTGTGAGAGAGTGTGTGTGCGGGTGCCGCACACACGCTCAAATAAAACCTGTTTGAACAACTGTGGTCTCAAGGGAACTCTGTCGGGCACCCACGGTGGCACGACTGCCACAGAGGGTTTTTAGAGTTCACCATCACTCACATCCTGTCAATCTTTGGTCAACGTAAGCACTCCCGTTATCACTTCTGGGTCAGCCTTGGAGTTGGTACTTTTTATGATTTAGATAAGATAAGAACTCTATAATCCCGCAGGAAATTGAGGCTTCAATGAAGAATCACTCAGAATATAAAAATAATTAAATGAAAAAATGTAAAAACAGAGTAATTCTTGATTTGGTCTATTTTTGTCGTATGTAAAGGTGTTTAAGGACTTGTAAAAATGTTTCAGGTTTTGTAAATTTCCTTATTAAAATATAAATTTGTTTTCCAAAATGTAAAAATGTCTTTGTTATGTGGGTTTGCACCTCCGGGCCACCGTATGAAAAGTGACAAAACAAACCAAAACAGAAAAACAAGAATGCAGATTGATGTTTGATTTCGGCTTTTATGTCAAACACACAAATCTCCAAATAAAATGTAACCCTGAGCATTCAGTTAAGATTTGATTGGAAATGCAAAATTATTTTAGTATCCATTTTAAACGCGAATATAAAGAGAGTACATTCTGCATGGGACTTGGCACACAGATATGGGACATGCAGTTTAGCTAACATGCAGCTAAGCTATGCAGTAACTTCAGAACCAGGGCATCAAAGCTAAATATGCATTTTTGGATGTCATAGTTTAGGCATCAAACATATTGTACATGATCCCCAAATAACTGATTAAGTCAGACATCAAGTATTGATCAGTGCAAAGCAATTAATATTTAGCTAATTTACATTAGCCAGACAGATTTGAACTATTCTTGTAAATGGTCACAGCAAAGCCATAGAGGTCTTAACGTTCTTTTACTTCAGAAGCTGAGGCCAACAGCGTTTTTTATGAGCTTCCAGCAGTACTTTAGTGTCATTTACAAAGAAAAGCATGCCGACAACAAGCTTGTCCAAGCCACAAACAGACGTCGTGTTGTTCATTGAGTAATTGTGACCACAGCACAGTCTTTGTCTGGATCTGTTCCATGACAGGAAGATGCTGCAATGCTAGTTTTTCAATGCAGATAGAAACCTCTTTTACCTATTTGTGTTGTTTTTTGGAGCAGAAATTGTGTCTTTGTAAGATATTTGTACTTCATTTAGAGATTGATTTGCTAAAGTAAAATCAAAATCACAAAACATATGGGCCTCTTTGAGTCGAATGGGGATGTAAGACTAACAGCCAACATGAAAAGGCATTATTCCAAAAGGCATTGGTATTAGTCATGAAAAACAACGAACACACACTTTCAGATTTTACACATCACCACATAAAAAAACATGAGTTCTTTTCCTGGTCTTAAATCTGAGATAGAAAGAGAATAAGAGGCAGCAAAATATGTGACATTGTATGCTGTGTCGTTACTCCTTTTTCCAAATACTAACCCGAAATTAAAAGCAATGAGTGCAAAAACTAAATACACCCACAGCTCATCATTTTGCCCTCTTTTCTTTCAAACATTGTTTCAGTCCGGGCTTTGACTGGACCACTGGAGCGCATCATTTGCTTCTATGACAGTTGTAGATTTTCTGATGTGTGTAAGATCATTGTCAGACCTAATTTCAGCTAAATTTATTCACTCAGACAGATGGTCGCACGTCTGAAATGATTTGGTATACAGACTATTCAATGGTGGACTCAGTGGTTGTTACATATCCAGATGCTGCAGAATAAACTCAAATCATCAGCACACAAAAATGATACTGTTATGCTCAATTAACCTTTTGCCAACTTGTTTGACAATGAATTTGGACTAAAATTGGCCATTTTGGTCTCCTTTTTAAAGAGTTTCTTTTGCAATTGAAGGCTGTTTTTTCTGTCAGCCATGCAAATAATCCATACTTGAAGTCTTTTTTTAAGTGTGCTATCATGAACTCTCACATTAACCATGCTAAATGAGGCCAGCAGAGTCTGAAATATCCTTGTTTTTCCCTTTGGAGTAATGTTTCTGTCTGTTGATTTTTCTAGATTGCACATTTGAGTTTGTCCTTCACCTGAAGTTGTATTTACCTCACTACAAGACTTTATGCAGACCAAATGAATTATTGAAATGTTATGATCTGAAAAAAACTTGAATGCACCCCTTTTTGTGTATTTATATGGGTAATTAAAGAGAAGTGGCATGTATTTCAAGCATAAGACAGGTTCAAATCCTTCTGAGAATGAGAAACGACTGATATCAGTGTACCTGAAGTATACTTTGACTGTTTCACTTCCCCAGAAAGACATCTTTAATTTCACAGTAACAACTTTGTTTGTGTTGTTCCTTTGTTTTTCCTTTAGTCATTTTTGCACACACACAAAAAACATTATCAAAAATAGTACATTAAATCCCCCGAACAAAAAAAATTACAAAAAGCATCGTCCACAAAGACCACCGAGACTTCTGTAAAACTGCTTTGTTATAAATTCTTAGTCCACTGAGGTTTCATTCTTGAAAGATTTAGCAAATTTTGCATATATTCAGTCTTTGCTCAGGTCTTGTTGTTTCCTTATGTCTCCATTCTGAATACAAAAACTTGAAGCTAGTACTACTTGTTTTTAAATCTTAAATTAAAACATAACACCATGTTCCGATTCCACATTTTGCTTGCCCAAATAAGAAAAAACAACACAGAAATCATTAGTGGCGTATCATTTTTCTTGTGGGTTTGGAGAATTTGTTCTGGGCAAAGACAGCTAAATGTTGAATTCATGACTCCGTGGACGATTTCTCCATTGACGTTTGTTCTTGAATTAATGGCAGCAGGATATTTGGGGGCAGCAGTGAGTTCCTCCCACTCAGTAGCTCTCGGTGTGTCTTTCGCAATCTGCGTTGGGAGGAGGCGTTTAGACAGGAAATCTAGAAGTAGCTGCAGCAGCCTGACTTCTCCTTCTGTGACTCAATATATTCATGGATCTGGAACTTGGGCGCGTTGGGGTGTTTGACAGCCCGGTGCTTTAATTCCCTGAAGAAACAAACAAAAAAAGAAATTAGACAATTAAGGACTTAGAAAAAACATTGAGAACATTAGGACATTTTAAGTGTGGAGCAAAAGATTTTTAAAATAGAAGACATTTCTTTGTCCTAATCACTAGCTTACCATGAAATTAGAAAAACATCATGCTGAGATAATGTACTAGTACACTTGTTAGAAAAACAAAAAAACATTATTATTCAACTCAACTCAACTCAACTTTATTTATAAAGCGCTTTCAGTCCACCAAAGCTAAAATCAAATCGCTGTACATGCCATTTGAGCGTATCATAAAACACAATTTTCACCTCCACACAAGACAAACTCTAAGATTAAAAACAGTGAGAGCAAAAAAAATTAAGAAATAAAATGATTATTATTATCATTACTTATATAAATTCTTCAAATTCCAGTATAAAACTAAAAAGATGTTGTTATTCATTTGACAAATAATAAACTTATAGTCCTGAAGCTGAAAGTCAGGTATAACAATCCGAATTAGGAATTCCAATTAAGCAACTAAGGGTTCTATGTCTTAATAACCCTAACCCTAACCCTAACCTAACCCAGCCATTGGTAGGCAACTGTTCTAGCCCCTTTCCTCTTTCACGCTGACATTTCTGTTCATGGTCCATCTGGTGATTTTCTCAAGTTCTGATCTCGAAACATCCCTCTCCGCCTTAAAATCAGCAGTGGTCTTCCTTCTGTCTGCTAATTTAAGCAAAGACAGAAGGAAATGGAAATACCACTCTTTGTAATAGACACTAAAGCAGACCGACCACACTGAGAAAACTCAACTTACGTCTCCCCTTAGTCTCAGAGTACATCTGGAATCATATATTCTATTTTCAGACTCTTTCATTTTCAGTAGGCTGTCAATATTTTTGAATTTGGAACTTATTAGGATTTTAAACTGAGGTCTACATTTTATACTACTTACCGGGTTGTGAAATCAGAAATTGATCAAGCATAACACTGGACCACTTAAATGATTGTTTATGTTCAGTGCAGTTAAAGAAATACAATTTGAGATCTTAATCAATAAATAATGATTTTCTTTACATTTTTTCATTTTGGTTTAAAACTGTACATGGAAAAAATATATAACAATGATTTTGTTTTATTTTTGTTTTAAAGAGTCAATTCAACTACAGAGCTTCAACATGAATAACTATTATAGAAATATAAGAAATATATTTTGATAACTACCAGTGTTATTCATTTAGTGCGGAAAAATAAAAACACGGCATAGTTAGGGCAAAAAACAATGTTTTTATAGAGGAACATTCTGGCTTCTTTTTAGACATCGACATGTATTTTTTAGGATTTTGAAAACAAAAATTGATAAAATCATTTTGTAATGTGGATTTCAGAACAAAATACTTCAACACACATCAATATGTCAATGACTCTGTAGTTAAAAGAGACTATTTGCAAACCTTAACAAACTGCAGTCAACACTTGCTCCACTTGGTTTTTAGAGGGAAAAAATAGCTTTGAGTGGACAAATAGATGGGATATGAATCACCTCCAGACAATGTTAGTTATTCCCAGTCAACAGTATCTTTCATTTGGAGCAAGTTGAATATAAATTGGGTGGATTTCAAATGGAAAAATACAAGTTGAGCGAATAAAGCAGAATCAGTGGTAAATGCTGTAACCAATTTAGGGGCTATATCTATCCAAAGAAAACCAACATTGAACTATTTACCCTCATCTTGGAGCACAGCAGAGAACCTTAAACATTATCTTCAACAGATGAAAGAACTAAGTGAATTTTACTGTATATTCTGGAAGCTATCTTAACCATTTCTGAAAAGACTGCTTAACCGACGATTGCTGTGCAAGCAATTTAAAGCTGAACTTATGGAAATGATTGTATTTTCACTGTAGAAGTTCATACATAAATTGTCTGAGGATCTGCTTTTTGTTTCCATACATTTTTCCTCCATTACAGCAATGAAGTCAGTTTCACTCAGTTATGTTTCACAAAACCAGATTGCTCAGCCGTGAAATTAATTAGTTTTATAACATATCAAAATGTTTTGTCCCCAAAACCAAAATAAAATTAAACCTTTAAAAGGATGATTTAATAATGATAATAACTATTTTTATTATCTTTATCATAAATGTTTTTTTTTTAACCAAAGATTAACTGGACTTATCTGAGAACGGGTACCTAATTGAAATATAGATAAAAGGTTATTTGTTTAAACCTTTAATGTCACTGAGAGAATGAAGGTATTTTAAAACAAGGTCTAAAGCCCTACTTATTTTCCATATAATGAAAGTACTTGTTAGATTAATTGTTTTGAGGATTTCTGAGTGAAGAAAATATGGTTAATATTTGAGATTGACAGCATATATAGTTATGTGTAGTTACTATATATATATGTATATATGTCTGCAGATCTATATCTATAGCTAATATATATTAGTCATTTAACTGATATGAGTAAGCACTGTCAAATATATCCTAGAGCTCATTTAAAGCAATGCTCATGAAATAATTCATAATTCATGTTACTGGACAGCACAACAAACATACAGATGTGGTTATAATTATGAAAGTATCATACTTAGCAACAGCTATGAAGGCCAGCTCAACATTGACTCCCGTTTTGGCACTCGTTTCCATGAAAGGAACTGAATATTCCTGAAGAAAGTAAGCACAGCAACAGTAAACAGAGAGAGAACACTCCATTAACTCTGTTTTTCCAACAACGGGTAAAATATTCACTCTGGCCAGTCGCTCTCCTTCATCTCTCCTAATCGCTCGATCGCTGCTCATGTCAGACTGAAAGAAGAACACACTGTTGTTAGAAATTCCATGTCAGTACTTAAGCTCAAGTATGAATAAAAGCACAAAATTGGATATACAATTACAATTCAATATCACATTTTTTCAGTAAGTTCAACTTTGCTACCTCACTACATGAATTCCTAGAAAATATTTCAAGCTTTGAAACCCAAAATAAGACGCTTTTCCGCATTGATTTATGATTTTTTTTTTTACCCATGTATATATAGCAGCTCTTTTAATGACTTGTATGCCATAGCAGCTAAAATTGAGCACTGACATTTAAGAGAGAGACAGATCTGGTTAATATCACACCACAAACTGACAAATTGAATTAAAATACCTGTCAACAAATTGACAGATGACATTCCAGAATCTGTAATTTAGCTTTTTTTTATGTTTCCTTCAACAAATGTTTAATGCAAACAAGTGAAATAACAATTAGCTGTTTTAATGAGGATGTGAATTTACTTTCTTACTCATCATCTTTTTAAGATGCAGAAAAATATATGACTGATAAAGGTTGTGTGGACAGAAAATCTTGGATACTACTGTAACTCAATCTTGACTAAATTATAAATATGATGCAAAGAAAAGTAGATTAATCCATTTCAAAGTGAGTTTCAAACGAAACACGGCACGCAGTGCAATGGGACACTGTGTATCCTCGAAATAGCACACCAGACATGTCCCTTTATTGTCTGGTTTTCTGTATGAACAGTTTCTTTCACATACAGTATTGAGCTTTTAAGACATTCTCTTCCCACCTTGTTGCCCAGCAACATGATGACAACATCACTCTGTGCATACTCATGAATCTCTGTTAACCACGCCTAGAACAGAAGAGATGGACACAAAAGCAAACACGTGGTTAATTGTGACACACATGTTCACATGATTAACTCTGGCAAACACATATGTTCATGAACTCCTTTCAAAAAGCAATGAATTACATGTATTTTGACTCCTGTCTGTCAAAACAATAAATCCAAGGCAAAGGCTTTGGCAGGCGAGAGAGATTTCAAGACAAAGACAAAATGTCTAACATAAAGAATATGCAAGACACATTAGAATAGTTAATGGCAGCCCTAATAGCCATGTACTAGAGCTACTGTATCATTTGGGCTGTCACTAGGGCATTATGGGTATTGTTTAAATGCCATTAAAATGATTGCTTGTGTCTGCTCTCTTTACCTTACATAAGTTATATTTCTCATTCACCATTTAGGTTCTCATGACTTCCATGTCGAAGACAAATCTCATACTTACCCTAATGTTGTCGAAGGATGATTTGCTGGTGATGTCATACAAAAGCAGTAAAGCTTTGGGAAAAGAAACAAGAAAAAATGGCCATAAAATGTAATAAAATAACACATTAATGTTCATTTCATGGATACAGGGTATATAGTACACTACACTCTGATTTATCTATCTATCTATCTATCTATCTATCTATCTATCTATCTATCTAT